GATACGCCTGGGTAACATCAGGGGTGGACGGTCTTGACGGCAGGGTCCGAGCTGTGGCTGCAGACGGGTGGGGGGGGGGGGGGGGGGCGGGGGCTCAGGGTTAGGGGGCCTCTTACGTCAGCGGCCTGATTGATAGGGGTGGGGTAGGGCCAACAGTGCAGACAGACCTCCTCCCACCGTGGCACCCTGAGTGTCACTGTCAGTCACTGTATCGCTGGGCCACCACAAGAGCCCAGGGAGTCCCCTGAACACTTCTAGCTGACCCCAGATGTTTATGGCCTCAAAGGACAGGTCTGGGCACCCTGGGGGAATGCAGCAAGCTTGCGCTGGGGCACAGGTGGGCCCTAGCAAGGAGTGGGGAGCAGAGTAGGCCCCAGTCCCAGCATCAGGAGAGAGAAAGCAACTACTGTCCCCAGCAGAGGGGACTCCTACAGGGCCACAGAAGCAGTAACCCTCAGGCTCCCAGGAGCCAGACCCTCCAGGGTACAAGAAGCCCCATGGCCCACCCTGACCCAGGACAAATACAGTGTATAGAAGCCCTTCAGGAATGCTGTGGGCCTAGGCTGATGGCACTAGCTTTCTGGAGGAGCCCAGCTGCCTTCTCCCAGGAGCTTCCTGCCCGGGGACCAGTCCCAGCCTGCACCCTCCTCCCAGAGGACCTCACTTCTCTGCCTAGGGAGGGGGCACAAGTCAGCTGCCCCCAGGCCCTAGCCTGTTTGACCCACGGCTTTGGCACCTGCTTCATTTATGCAGCTCCCTGGGTGCCAGCCCCCGCACATAGGCAAGGGGCAGGCAGGTCTCATCCACCTTTGCCGGAACGTTGGGCACTCATCCCGTCTCTCCCTGCCTCGATTTCCCACAACATGCTACATATATACACCCTCGCAGGAGGGAGAAGACGACGCCCAGTGCCCGGCACGCAGAGAACAAAGAAGGAAAAGAGACGCCGGAGCCTGCTGACCGCTAGAGCCACCTGGCACTCAGGAAGAGCCTGCGCGTTCCTCCTCATCTCCGCTGGGCCAGGGGCTCTCCTTGCCCGCTCCCGGAAGTCAGTGCGCTTCAAGCGTGCGGGGGCAGAGGCGGGGGTGCTGCACAGCCACCCCCAGAGCGGGGGGCACGTGCCGAGAGGAGCTGGCCTCCCCGCTGGCGGCAGCAGCGGCACAGAGAAGGCCTAGTGGGCGGGTTCCCCATGCACCCTGAAGCGGTAGATGCAGGTGTACTCGGGGTGGCCCCAGTTAGTCAAGATCCGCAGCTCCACCACCTGGTACGTGGCCATTTTAGGGCCCTGGGGAGAGAAGACAGGGGTGAGAGTCCTCAGACCGGAGGGGAGACGGCCACACCCAGGGCCAGACGCCCCTTCCCCCGGGCCTCTGTAGAGAACCGGACTTCAAAGCTCCTGTCTTCAGACCCTGGAACACAGAGTTTCCAGCTGGTGGGCCAAGGAGCCCCACAGGCTTCAGAGGTCCCACAGGGGCCGCCAACGCATGTCAGGCTGCGCCAGGCCCAGCCCACGGCCACATAAAAATGGCCTTGTAACCGAGCCCCAGCATGATTCATCTCAAACTGGGAAAACCTCACAGGAGCTCTCTTTGACCATGAACAGAACTACCTTTATGGAGAGTTTGATGTATGTCGACGTTGAAAAAGAATTCCTTCACTGTGAATTAAGCAGAATTTCTTTTCTTTCTCAAGTTCCCATCAGTCCTCTGTGTCGTACGCTCATTTTCAGCTGAGGGCTGAAACTCTCTGCCTGGTAGCCAGGCCTGCCTCTCTCCCGCCTCTGTCCCTTCTCCACCTCACCCACTTCCTCACGCTAGGACTGCCCTGGTGTGGCTCTCAGGCCACCTACCAGAGACTCACCTGGGCTGGAGACTGGGGATCTATTTCTAACAAGGGCCTAGGAGACCGTTGCCCACTCAAGTTGAGGCAGGAGCCCCCCAGCAGTGGCCCAGCCACGCTGTGCTGTGTGAGGCCCTCTGCAGGCAGCTCCCCAGCACTGCCCATCTGGGAGGGCCCCTCCCCTGCGCTGATGTGCACTTGGCGCCTCTCCCACGCCACAGGAACAGTGGTCTCTGTTCCGTACCTCGGGCTGTGGGTGGGCTAGGCTGTGACTTCTCACTTGGAACCCCCAGTGCCTGGCACAGGACAAGTACTCAGAAAACATCTGCTGAATGGATGGGAAAGTACATATATATGCCTCCTCTGCCAGCAGGACAGAATCCCATACCTGAAAATAAAACGTCTGAATGGGCTCCCCATCCTGGTCGTAGGTGAACTGGCCAAGGAGCGTCCCCTCCTGCTGCAGGTCTTCATCGAAACCCTGAAGAGAGAGCAAAGGATGGAGGGAAGATCCTGCTCTTAGACACGGGCCCCCAGGGAGGAAGACCTTCCCTCCCGTTTCCCCACTGGTCCCCTCCCACCCGGTGGGGCAGGCACCAGCCTCCTCGGGGACTGCAGGGGGCCTGAGCTCTGGACACAGGGCCGCTGTGTGATCTGTGACAAGTCACTTAACTCATTAGGCCTCCGTTTCTTCCTCCGCAGCCCGAGGTAACTTGAGACCGAAGCGCCGTTTCCCACCTTGGCGCCGTCTCTTCCGTATCTATTCCCTTCCCCTCAACCAAAGAACGATCCCAACCCTATCCTCAATAGAGACCCACAGGGCCCTCTTACAGCCCCTCTAGCCCCCAGGTGGGATACTCACAAAGATGGCAAAGTCCTTGGGGGCACTGGAGATGGTGCTGTTGGGTGACAAGGATTTGGGCACATGCTCTAAGGTGACAGCAGTGGGGCTGATGCGGGCAGAAAGGCGAACCACAGCAAAGCCCTGGGGCCCCTGGAAGGCCCAGCAGTTGCCTGGGTGCACGTCTGGCTGGAAGGGAAGAACGTCGGGTCAGCGCATGGCAGGTGACAAAGACAGCCGGCCCTGAGCGCAGCTCTCAATGAGCCAGGAGGGGACAGTCACCCAGCTACGCAGGCGACTTGGTGTGCTCAGGGCCCCCACCTGGAGAATGACTCGGGGAGACTGGGATTGGTACCACAGGGGGATGCCGAAGAGGCTGAGGAGGGCCGTCTTGGTCTCGTAGGTCTCGGAACATCGGGTACTGATAACGCTGGCCCCTGAGACAGGAAAGAAAGGCAGGGTGGGCTCCTGGGGCTGGACTCCAGCAGGGGAGGGAGACCCACACAACCAGCTTAGCTCGCCAGCCAAGGGAACCCCAGCAGGGACTACTATTGCCCGTCCCCTCTGAGGACCAGTCTTCACAGCTAACCCAGACCCCGGAGCAGCTACAAGCACCGCCCGCCTCTTCCCGGCTGAGGATGGTGCTCAGCATGTCCCGCTTCTCCCACGCAGTCACCCGCCTTTGTTGTGAGCGCTCGGTTGGGTGAGTTCTGCTGACCACAGCTACCCTAGCAGATGCCAGGGGGGCCGCCAGC